AACTGCCACAGCCATTTCTTTCAGGTATCACATCACATACGACGCAGCCACAGTCACACATCTCAGCTAAGAGTTGTCAAGACAGATTTGCATGCAAACATGTCATGCAGATGTAGCTCTTCCTTACTACAAAACTAACAACAATTAAATACCATTCAATCAGTGAAACGAAACGTATTAAATGCATGGAGTTCAGATCCTAGAGAGTCCAGCTGAGGTCATTGGTGTTCAGGCACCTCACTCTACAGAGAGGAGGTCTTAATTTGAAGAGAAAGCCCATCTTATTCACCAAAATGAGGTGAAGGTCAGCTAGTTGGGTACTCGAGAGGTTCCACCTGTTGTCCTGTTCATAACAGCAAACAGCAAGGACTGTGGTGATTCTCACTCTGCTGTGCAGAGCATCTGTATGGCCCTGATGGACAACTGTATCGAAGAGTAAATCCCACAACACAACCGGTCAACCAAATACATGCATCTCCATACTTGGTTCCAAAGGATCATACGCTGTAAAGATGAAACAGTGCCTATATATTCAGATAAAGATTATGGCGAACTATATAAACACTTAAGAAAATTTGAAAGGTGTTTTATAAAGAGCACACACATACAAATGCTTCTGAAGACAAACACTTGAATTATTCTATTATTAGCTTTAGTACTTAGTTCTCCTGCCCGTGAAAACCAAACATTTACATTCGCATCTTCCCCTGTTTCTTACTGCAGGTAGTCTGGACTCTGAAGGTGTAGAAGACATATTGCCATTTTGAGGCTAAACCCAAACATGTGAAGAGCTGTGCTCTGTTGCTGGTTTTAATCAGCAGCAGTTATTTCTTCAATAGGAATTGCAGCTTCCAGCTCTTCTGGCTAATCTACAAAATCCCACCTGATAGCAGCAGAGGAAGTTACTTCTGTTTTAGTGGAATCGTGGGGGTGGGGCAAGCCATGGGAAGGAAACAAGCTTTTTTTCAAGATAAGATGGATCTAACATAACAAACTTTTCAGATGTGTAAAACCAGCAGTGGTGCAAAACGTGCTTTTCTTAAAGTTTCTCCTAGATGTTCACTGTTAGCACAGACTTCCGTAAACCGGTTCATCAGGAGCTGCTTCTTAATTACCTCCACATCCCTAGTCGCAACGTCGATCAAATCCTGCTGAATGGCGAAATTAGCAAATTGCGCATCCCTGATCATAGCTTCCTCCAGGTATCCTTGACCATTCAACACCAATTCAGCAACTGAGGGAAGGCACGGTCGTACTATCTCTGGCCTCACCAGAGGGATGGAAGCTGGTACCGAACTCTCCAACGTTAACAGCATCGATCTATCGATCTCCCACCAGAACACCACAGTTGCCAAAAGGCCACTCAACATCAGCAGGTTTAAAATAAGCCTTACTGAGGTAAGGACCCTTCAAAATCAAATTTCCAAGAGTTCAGCCACCCAAATGTACATCTGAAACATAAGGACCAGCTCATGCATCTGAAAACTTACGAGCATAGCATAAGGGCTCTGGTATGTGACTACTGAACGCTTCTGGCCCCTCTTTGGTGGGCAGCCCACATACAGTCTCTTTATGCATGTAATTTAAAGTTGCTTACAAGTGGAGTATCAAAATCAGCCCAAATCATCCCTAGTCTGTATTACAGATGCATATTTTGTGAGCTTAATTCCACTCCATACTGAATAATTTCCAGGTCTCAACATAAACCACGAACAGTTGTTCACATCTGGAGCCATTTCAGAGAAGTTCTGAGACAGGCGAATCTCTGGGAGGTGCGACAGTGCACAGCCAGGCTATCAGCATAGGCCTGAAATCACTGTAAATCAGTAGCTATTTCAATCATTTTCTAGTAGCATTCTACCTACTTTTTTAACGTTATCCACTAGCTTAGATGTTATTTTTGCATTGTTCATAAATGAAACTGGCATATAGAAGATGTCTCCTCCCTCCCTTTTTTAAGATTGCCTTTCTTCCATCAGTCCACAGGGTTTCATTTCAGCTTTGAACAGTTTCATTGATTTCAATTTGTATGAAAAACCCTCACAAGTTCTACATATGATTGCTACTAGAGCAATATTAAATTGAGATATAAGCTCCCCAGATAGCCAGCCACTTACTAATAAGTTATGCCTCCCTCACATGAGTAACAGACTTTAAATTCTGGCTACAGCTGAAGGCAGGCATTGCAAATGCTTCCACAGAAGGTTCGGCTCTATCATGCCCACATGCCCTGCCTCCTTTCTGGACTGACCTATGATTCAAGCTCGATATACCTTCATTTCTTCTGGACTGCAGGGAGAAAGCAGTAGGAGCAGGTGGGGAACATGCACATGGGCAAATTACCTTCAAAAACTTTGGATATTGGTAACTTCTCTTCTCTGAACACTTCCTGGTTTTACACTTATGCTGCGGGGTGAGCCCAAGTAACCCATCTGGTCTCGTACTTTCACAGCTTACCTGGAACAGGTCTCAGTATCCTCAAGGCAGGGGTCTAGCAGAGACAGCATTGCTCCAGGGGACTCTGCAGCTGTAAAATGGTTGCTAAAAGGAAGGCTGAACTTCTGTGGCCACTCTAGAGGTGCTAGGGAACATCATTTAGCAAGGTAACCGATGTAACTTGTGCCAAGTGGAAAGGTAGCTGATTTCCCTGATGGAGCCATGGCAGCAGTATGAGAAAAGACAGTATGGGATCAGAAAGTTGTCTAATTAAACAGTTTCTGAAATTTGCAAAGATGTGAAAACACAGCCAAAAAAGTCATCTGAGCAGTTTCACCCTTGGTATGTTAGAAGGACAGGGCCTATTTGACATTTAATTCGATGAGAACATGACATCTCACCTGGGTGGGCTACGAGATGAACAGTCTGATCTTGTTTACTAAGTAGGTATGTTAGACAGGTACATTTTAGAGTTACATTTACATCTAACTTCTTGTTAGATACACCAGCTTTCAGATCCTTCCATCCTCATGACATAAGAGATCTGTTTTTCGGTGAAGTGCACTGTTACCTGAAAGCAGCCACCCTCTCTGTACAGTGGAAGAAAATCTGGAAATATTCTAGATTACCTGACATTACTTAGTGTAAAGGTGTGCTTCCTTGGGGGACCAGGTACTGTATACACTTTTGTCTGGTATCCCCAGTGAATCCAGGCTCAAAGCTGGGAAGTGTACATTAAAATAACCAGCATCAAGTCTTTCAGCCACGAAGGAATACAGAGGCCTGTACTGATGACTCAAGCACGTTGTATCTTGTCTGTATGATACTTAAGGGCTAACTCTGTAAACTATACTTGAATGCTTCAAGTACCAAAAGTCCAAAATCCCAAGATTCTTACAAGTATTATGAAAGTATCCAAAAGTTTAGAAGACTGCAGCAGCAAACATCACAAGACCAAGCACTGAATAGCTGAAAGAACACAAAATACATCAAAAAAACCACGTTCCTTCGATCAACTCTATCCTGAGATAGAGCCTGGAGAACATGAAGACAACTATATGGATAAATTCTGAGCGCCTCATGACCAGGGAAAGTTTGACAGATGGGGAAGGATTTAAATTCAGGCTGATTAAGAAAACCTGCAAAATTACAGATTTCCTCATCACGATGTCTGCTCTGACACCAAAGTTGCAAAAATCAGGTTGCAGAATGGTCATTGAGACAGCATGGGGACTCTCCTACTGCAGCAGATTGTACCTAATCTTGTACTGACCAAGTACTCAACTCTTGCCCTCTCTGTAAAATTTATTGCTGAGAACTGCCCTGTCACAGACATTTCAAACACACTGTAGAACTCAGCCTCGGAAAGTAATTTCAAATGAGCTTTTTGAGGAAAAGATGGCTAATTTTTTTTTCCCTAATGCACACTCTTACTTAAATCTGAAATTCCTAATATGTATCAGTAAAGCCCAAGCACAAAAGCTTTGACTTGTGTAGTTAGCATAGAATCTGCCATGCAATGCACAATTTTCAGAAACAAAGTGCTAATCTACACGTGGGTGTGATCACGTATGATCCAGCCTCAGACTTTCATTTCTCTTATTTCTATTTGTATGTGATACATTAGTGTATAACATCATGATTGTTGCAACACTGGTGCTTCAAATGTCCAAAAGGAAATCAACTCTTGAAAATATATACAAAAAAGGGTCTAGTTTGCAAAGGAACTGAACAAACTCCCCTTTCACAGGAAGCACTGCTGTGCAATCAAAGCCATCTTCTGTAAAAGCAGTAAGGAAGCAGGATATAACATTTAGTTTCAAACTAATAACTAATACTAGATTTTTGGAGAAAGGGAAAAGAATGTAGTCATTGAGTTAGACCCAAAGTTTAATTGCTCTTTTTCAATCAGGTATTAGAATAAATTTCAAAAGATGGTATCCTTGTAAAGAGTTTATTCTACAACCATCTTTGATTCACTAAAACTGGTATTCCAAAGGGAATCAGAGTGTTGTTTTTTAAAAAAAAACAAAACAAAACCCACTAAGGCCATTTTCCTTCAGCTTTAATTATTTCTTTTTTATTTTTTGTAAGTCAAATCAGTCAATATATTGGTATTCCTAAATCATCCATCTTGCATTTTGATGAGTTAGTCTACCATCATCGTTCTGAGTTACGAAATTTCAAAGTCTCTTTGGAATACTAATTTCATATTTATAGGTTTCAATTTTTTTATTCCATCCTATTTCCCTGATTTTTTCTTTGACAGTTGCTGATGTAAAATGTAATATAAAATATTTAGTCACAAAATAGTATTGCTTTTATGCACATTGTGGTAAGATTATTTTTTTTCCAATAAAAACTATACCATCTTCCATAAAATCCTAAACATATTAAGAACTGTGATGCAGAACAAAATTACACAGGGTGAAACAGGTACCAGCACAACAGTGAGATTATATTACATCAAAAAATTTTAATGGTCCCAAATATATACTCAACAACTAAGCATACACTCAGGGGGGGCAAAAAAAAAAATTATGACACAAAAGTGACCACATCTAGAATTCCACTCAATCTTTAATCAAGAAGGGACAAACAAATCCCCCACCTCCAAAAAAAATTCTGCAGTTTAAAGGGCAAAGGGAACAGATTTAAAAAAAAAAAAAAAAAAAAAAAGAGGAAACTTTATATTCGGCCCTCCCCCGTAGAGGTTTTTAAAACCTGTTGTAGCTTGACTAAAACGTTCAGAATGTATGATTTCAAAGGCAGGTCTCTTTTACACAAAGAAACTGCTGGCATTCTTAACTAGTGAAGAATTATGGCAAAACCCGCCTTTTCTTCAGAAGTCTCATACATGGTCCAAGAAAGCATATTCTGATTGTAGCAACTGACCAGCCAATCCAGAGTTCCACTAACAAAACTCCTGCCCTGTTGGCTTTTTGTTTTGTTTTGCTTTTTGTTTGTTTTTGTTTTGTTTGTTGTTTGTTTTCCATTTCCTTCCCTGAGAAAAGGGCAACATGTGGTCCAAGCTGGAGAGCTCAAAGGCATAAGTCTTTCCCCTAAACAAAGTATTTCCCCTCCTTCTGCTCCTTTGAATTGGCACTTGATTGGCAGAAATCCGTTTGTATAGGTTGATCTGTGTCACACACAGTAATTCACGAAAGATTGCTGCTTTGCTGTGGGTTTGTTTTTGGAAAAAATATCCTTCCCCCAACTGGTGATGTTCTTCAGCAGTTGCCATTATGATGACTCAAGTTTTGCTTTCTTTGACAAAGGTAAAGTTTCCTCTTTATCTTCATCTTCATCATCCTCTTCATCATCATCAGGATAATCTACAAGCCCAACAAGGCCTCCCTACAAAGACAGACACAATTACTATAATTAAGAAAATGTTTGTACATTGGTACTTCATGTTTGTATTGCAAAATGATGTTTGCACAGAATATTGCCATAAGCATACTGATTCATGAAGTTTTGAATAAAATGAAGCAGAACAAAAACAAATACTTCACTATGAATGAAAATGACATTGTCTGAAAAATGCTTAAATCAATAAATCCAAAATGGGGTTTTACCTATCCAACTAGATAGAAATATTTCCAGTTGAATTTTAAGAAAATACAAAAATCTTAGTTTTGCTAAGTGTCACTGCAGCTATATCTGTAAAGACCTAGATTTTTTTTTTTTTTAACCAAGCATAGCTGACTGCAGCAACAAGCAACCTGGAAGCACTTCAGAAACAAATACAGAATATCTTGCCATTTTAATTTTTGAATTACGACACTTTTAGAACACCGTGTCTTCACAAAAGCTAGACTAAATGTGTAGTAACTTAAAGAATTTTTTGTATAATATAATTGAATGAGGTGTACAGGTTACAAAATTTAAACATCTTGGCAGCTGAAAATGAAAGCTTATCTAGTAATAGTATAAACTCCCTTGTATTGCAATTAACCACAAATTGTAAGATTAGGCAGCTCTAGACACACGAAGAAGCGGCATGAACTTCTAAAACTTCCTCTAACTACAGCACGTTGACATTTCTGAAGCTTCACCAGCATTTGACTACAATGGCTGTCACTGGTACTTTACGCAAAGATCACACTACATAATCAGTTGTCTAATGATAAGACAACCAAACCAGAAAATTTCAGACAACTGTATGCCAAAATACAACTCAATAAGCAATTACACACATTCTGTACAGTCACAGACAACATAACGCTGAGTATATACTACACATAAAATAACAAGATCAGGTAATTAATGAAAAACCCAATTTCAACACTGTTTCTAGTTTGTGACTGTGGCACATTTATAAACAGTGTAAAAAGGCAGCTTATGCCTGAATCCATGAATGTTTTTTCAGTGCACTGCATATTCAGTGTAATCTGAACATTTTTCTTTTGCCACCTCAACTTAAAATTTTGGAGCCAATACTGTATGCAGTACGCTCCATATATAAAGACTCCGTTTCAGATACAAGGAATTATATTGCCTGTGAGAAAACAAGCCTCCAGCAGAAATACAGAACTAAATTCCAAGCCAATTCTATCCCTTTTAAGAATCGCTTTTTTCATAAGTGAAATAAATCTGCTCCCCCTTCCTCCACAGATGGATTTAGAAGAAGTATCACTTAGTTCTTCATCAGCCAAACTCTCCTCATTCAGCTGTTTTTAACAGAAGGTAATCCAAACATAAACTCTTAAGCAATGTTCGACTATAAGAAAGAAAAAAAACGAAAACCCCATTTGCCGTTACTAGAAAGTTAGGTTAAGAAGCAGTATGGTGGCATTAAAAATAAGGATGAATCAGAGTTATTCCAAGGCTACCTGAGAACGGAGCTACCTACCTGACCTTTCAGAAATGGAAACACTTTTTATGAAAGTAAAATCTCATTATCTGAACTATGCTGTACCAACACTACCTTACTTGTCCCCCAGTGCTGAGAAAATACCAGTCACTATTTCCCTGACTTGGTTTAAATAGAGCTTTAGCCAGAAATCTGGTAAAATCCAACAGCACCATAAAAATGTATTTATAAACACTGGTTTGGGGTATTCATTGCAGGTTATACTGACTCTTTTAGATGGGCTTTCTTCTTCTACTTCAGTATGTTCCAACACAAAACGATATGTTATTTCAAAAGGTAAGAGAGTCACACTAGATTATTAAAAATGGTTTATGTTTTGGCTTACAGCAACCACCCCTCCATAATACAATTTCTTTCTTTCACATGTGCCAGTTACATCACTTTGAACAACATTAAAATTGTAGAAATTCTCAATGGGGTTGGGGGGACGGGACACCGTGGAGTCTGGCAAAATTTGGCAACATTTCCAAAGTATTTCTGTATTTCTACCTGCCAAATACCCCTGTGCAATTTTTAACAAAAGTAAAGTGTTGTCTGTATTTCACAGTAAAGACAGCTGCAAGCAGCAGCTAGTTGTATGCTTCATACTTTAAGTCTGGGCATTAAAAGAGCCTTTACTTATTTTTATATACATGTCAGATCTTCTTAAAGATGCTAAAGGCCAGACAAAAAAGCACACACAAACCAGAGAGTCCATTCTGCTTAATGTGTCAGAATTCACACAAACTTGAGAGAGATGCTAAAGCAAATTTCTAGTCTGTAACGACGAAGTCAACCTAGGTCCATTCAATATTACCTTAGTTGTAATAGCTGCCATCTGAGATGTGCTTTTAGAAACCGATCCTGGAGATCCCGGGGACCCTGGGGATCCGGGAGACCCCGGGGATCCAGGCAGATTACTAGCAGATGACTGGCTGGTAAGGTTAGATTTTGTACCACTGGAGAAGGAAAGCTTGAAACTTGGGCTCTGACGACCTGAAAGGTTAGTTTTCAGAAGAACTTCCTTTTCTTCACTCTCTTTTACTGGAGAGAAAAAAATAAACAAAAAAAGTGCAGAAGTAAAGCAATATTATTGAGCAAAACATTTCATTACAAATCACTTTCCTGTGTGGAAAAAGGCTTAATACTTTATGTACAACTTGGTAGAGTGAGTCATCATAGACTTTTTTTTTTTTCCATACTACTATACCACCTACAAGCCATTGCCACTGTCCAGGAATGAACACTTTTATTCTACCAACGATGTCACCTGAACATTTACATCAAAAATTTTGAATTACAAACCTGAATAAAACACAGGAAAACTTGACTATCAGCTAAGATTGTAATTCAAATGCTTTAAGAAATCAACAACAATATTTTGTATCATTCCGCTTAAAAGACAACAAAACTTCTTTTGAAGGTGTGGTCCACCAACCTGATGTCACAATTTCAAAATCTAAGAACTTCAGAATAAATACATGCAAATTCTTCATTGCAGTAGGACTAAAGAATACAAGTCATGGCTTCTGCATAAGCCATATGGCATTCTTCTTCTCATCACTTACATTTTTTCCTTTCCATGAATTTACTGATAGGGTCCATAATATCTTCATCATTTTTAGTTTTGTCAGAAGGGGGCACCACTGCCTCTCCATCTTCCATATCGTCTTCATCGGTATTAAACCACATTTCCTCTTCATCCTCCAGGGTTCTTGCATCCCTTCTGTATCTATGGTTTCTCAAAATGGAGCGCATGCTGCAGAACAGTAAGTTTTAAAACTTTTGATTAAAAAACCAACTCATATTAATAATAAAACTTCTACTTGAGATTTACAGTGACAGCTTGTCATGGGGTTATATATATATTTTTATATATATATATATGTATATAATTTTAACAAATGGGGTCCAATACATTAAAGAAAAAAAACAACAAACAGCTGAAATCTAACTTAAATATGACTCCAGCTTAAAATAGATGCATTAAAAAACAGCTCTCTCTTTCTGCCAATTTTTGGTCACTATCAGTATTTTCCATTCTTCAGACCTTTGGATACAAAGTGCTACTTCTCCCTCCCCATTTGATCCATTATTAGTATTGGTCTATCTCAGCTCCACCTTCCTTTTGTTTTTTTCTCACAGCAGCAGTATTATGGCCTTGGAGAACAGGAGAGTGATGTGCACCCTGAAGAACAAAACCCTTAACAAATTTTCTGTAGCAGTTGTTCAAAATATACTGGCCACAATGTAAGTCTGAAATTTAATGTTTTTCATAAAGCCTCTGTTACTGGAATTAAAATGTTAATAATACAATCTGAGCTTATTCTATTTAGAAAAAAGGTCTTGCATTGACTGTAGGAAAAAGCCAGAAAGGAAAAATTAGGAAATTACAAGGTATATATAAGAATGCTAAATGTATTTTTCAAAATAAACCTAATTCTGAATAGTTTTCTTGCCAACGCTATCAGCTGGATCTATACATACTGCATCATTTTACACTGCATTTAAATTCAAGTTCTGCTAATATTGCAGAACTATTAATTAAGCGGCACTCTTCTGAATACTTTTGTGGCCCATGTCAACAAAATTTTTGGCCTCCTTCCTTACTGAACTATTCTTTGCTAAACTGTGTGAACAGATTCTTGTTACTTTTGCATTTTGTTATTTCTGTGTTTTAACTTAAGAAATTACATGGACTGTGAACAGGGCTTGTGCAGCCACTATATAAAATGTAGGAAGAAGGTAAAAACTGGGCTGGGTTGAGCTACAAACCTCTTGAAGCTGCAATTTTCTGTTGGATGAACTCATGCAGCCCAACTACACACAATCACTTAGCTCAACTTAAGCCAAGAAAAGACTAATGTTTTACTTCCTATACTGGATGAAAATTACTGAAGGAAGCTGCTGGGTGTTCTTTGCAACACACACATTAATGTGAGAATCGTAGGCTTGAATTTCACAGCTGTTTAAGTGATAAGCTTAGCTGACAAAAGCCAAAATAATAACATCTCATCTGTAAAACATTAGTACTCAAAACCACAGATAGCGCAAATACTCTTGAAAGTGCTTCAACATTTCAAAATAAATCTACGATTATACTCTTATTTTAATTGTAGAAGTCTCAAATTTAAATATTGGCTAAGAAATCTTGTGGCAGAAATAAAATAACTTAAAAGTCTGAGATTTCAAGATATCCTAGTATGACTAATCAGGATTAATTTTATAATGTGTTTTCAAACTAATTCAAGACAACAGAACAAGAACAGATCTTGCTAACAATTCTTAAGAGTAACCCATCTATTCACAAAAGGAGTCCAGTTTGTTTGAAATAAACTACAAATAAAAGTAATACCATTTGACAAAAATAAATGGAGTAAGAAGTCCTAAACTTCCTATTTTTATACACCCTAACCTTTTAACCTTGGGTAACTGCATACTAAGGAAGGGAACTTTAGCTCTGGCAAACAGGAGTGATTCAAGTGTTACATCAGATTGTTTTTTACTCTATCAGCAAATCTAACACTGACAAAAAAGCATCCTCTGAAAATTTCTTTGTAATTCTATTTCTTAATCATCTTAGTAGAGCTTAGCTAAATATCTACTCCCACAACTCACTAAAAGAAAATGTGATGTGAATTTTTGAAGGAAAAATCCACAGAATGATAATTCACAACTGAACAATCTTTCACATCAAACAGTGGCAATCTGTTGTTTAAGCAAGTGAACTTCAGATACTTGACAGGCTTCCAGCCTCATTACAACAGTGCATGTAAGTTCAGGATATGACAACTTAGTATTATTACTGGGGGTCCAGCAATATGCTGGATAATGCTAATATGCTCACTGAAAGCTGATCAAGAATTTGAAGCAACACATCTGAAAATCACACGATTAACCACATATATTCATCAATATCTGAGATGCAAGCAGGAGTCTAAACTATTTACATTTCCCACTATCACACAACAACCCACCAATATTCTCAAAACAGAATTAAAGCACTGATATACCAATAAGAGCATTTAGTGCATTTTACCTGTCAAGTTTTGGATTATCTTGTCTTTCCCTTTGTTGCTCAAATCGTAGTTTTAGTCCTTTGAATGTTTGCACATAATCTACATCTTCTAGCGCCTTCCAGTAATTTTCAATTACATGAGCTGTTAGCGATTTTATATCTTCCTATAGGAACGAACAAACATAAAGTGACTTAAATTCACTTGAATGAAAATATTTAATACAATATAAAAAGTAACTGAAATGAGAGATTATTTTTAAACATTCCATACGAAGCATCATCTTAACTAGCTTATGTAAAAATGAGTATTACGCATACAAGTGTAGTTAAAAATCTAGACCTTCAAATTTTTTATTTGTGAAACAGGCATAATAATAGCAATTTTCTAGCAGTATCTCCTTCAAAACACACGACTAGAACCTAAAACCCTGATAGAAAATTATACCAAAACCAGTTCTAAAAGGCTTTTCCTACTGCCAACTTACAAATATTTTTATATTGATAAATTAACTGACACCTGGTGTAATCAGTCAATTAAAAAATTCAGTTACAAGATACAGACTTAGCATTCATATTGTTTCTTTCCTCACTGCAAATAAATTACTTATGTAAAAATAATTATTCAGTGCATTTGTTGAGGATGAGAACAAGGAAGATATTCTTCACCAGAAACTAACATCAGGGTTTTTTCTTTGTGGCCATATAGTGCTGGTCAGGGTCTTTTACAAAAAACTCCCAACTGTTCTGCTATTTCAGTTCAGCCCTGTGGCTGCCCAAAGCAACTCCAGGCAGCTAAGACTAGCATAGGTCTGCATACTGCAGCAGGAAAATTGCTCCTGTGCATCGTTTGGCTTTCTTTGCACAGCACAACCACCGGAATATACTGCAGAATAACCATCTCAATTACCACGTACTAAGGACAGGCAAAGCAACATAAAGCTTAATACTGGTTATTTTCTTTTTTGGTTATATGCTCAAAGGCCACCTTTTATGAATGGTAATACATCAGTAATAACAAAAGCACACTTTTTTTTGAGCTCTTCAAGAATAAACCTGAATGAAATAAAATTGACAAAAATTATTTCCAGATGTCAGGAAGTATTCTGGAAATGCAATCTGGGTATCTATGTGCGAAGGAGGATAAGAAGGAAAAAAAAAAGATTATTTATTTCCTCATAGCATGAGCTGTAGAATCAGCACACAATCCCATGGAGTACTGAAAAACCACAGCACAAAAGTCAGGGACACCAATGTGGATTAACTTTTTTCATAGCTTCAAAACCATTTTTAAACCAATTCTTCCATGATGACTAAGTCATCTCAGTCTTGAATTGCCTCGAGTCCCAACTCAAAGATGAAGGCTGCTATCAGCACAGAAGATTTCCAGAGGTGACAAAACCTCCTTTTTTCCCCCTCACAGACTTACTCCTCCCCAACTGTCAGCACCCTAGCTTCGCCCCAGTTACCACGTTTACAGTCTGTACAGCATCTTGCCAGAATATGGATGCAGACAACAGTGAGGAAACAGTACTGTGCAGACAGCCAAATCGGCACGAATATTTTAAGAGACTACCCATAGAAGGAACTTTGTAGCAGTCCATTAATATAATAAACAAAGACTGGTATCTTCTGTATGTTTCTATATTCTGATGAATTGGTATTACAGCGCACGACTAAATTTGATGGTTTTGTAGCAGTAGTTTCAAATGACATTCCTGTCATAACAGGCCCATCCAGCCTGCATGATGAAACTTGATTAGGGCTGCCTTTGCAAATCTGGGTACTGTGAGTACACTGAGTATCAAGTGAATTTAATTTTCAAGTCATGGTACTGTTTGAACGTAAGAAAGAACACGTATGAATACGTAACTCATACAAAAGAAAGTTCATTTAAATACAGTATCATATGGTCACATCACTGATAGCATAATTTAGGGTACAAGCAAAAAGAACTGTTCTTGAACTACAAGATTAAACAACACACTAATATCTCTTCAGCACATAACAGCACTCACCACTCTGATAAATTCAAACATCTCTATTATAGCAGAGTTCATCAGATTATAACGGGAACCATTATTTAGAAATGCTTTGACCACAGGTTCAAACAAAAAACTTTTCATTATGTAACGGTTGTAGAATTCATCCTTTAGTCCAATTATCTTTCTCTTGAAACGAAGGGCACCTGAAACAGAAGTGTTGTCAAAAAAATTTTTTAATTTAAAAGAAAAAAATCCCAGAATTACTCAGCATTAGTTAGGGCAATCGTCAATCTCTGTTCTTATACAGCATTACACTATTAGGACCTGGTAATACATTCAGCTATTCACTGCTTCTCAACAGTCTTGACTATACTGCTGAAGATTACTTATCTATTTTACCACAAAGAAATCCTCCATCATAATTGTACAAATGAAACCACCTCTGTTCACTGAAGAAATAATATACCACTGTTTATCTATATTGCTACTAACATAAAGGTCTATTTTTTGATTTTTTAAAATTACTTATGATAAAGATAAAATACTTTCTCAGTAGGACTGGGAAATTTACTTATCATTCCTATTATTAAAATGTAAGTTTGATTACATTTCATGAGACATATTTGATTAGAATGCAAACTATCTCATTTTAATATTGGTAAATGACATTTTCTTCACACACATAGTAAAGCGAAGACTTAATTTACACCCAGTTTAAAGCTCTTTCTAAAACCTCAAAGCGTACACAAGCATGTGAATGTCCATGCATAAACAGAAAGTAGAGTATCTCCTCACTATAAAGGCAGTACATTTTGGTTAGCAACTAGGTGTACATAAAAAAAGATTATTCAAGGGTTCTAAAACCAAATGCAGGTGATACAGTTACAAATTTAAAAGGTGGTACTTCTTGTTGGGTACTGCTCAGTCAACTTTAGGTTTTGCTCTACTCTATGTGCACAACAGAACTGGGGAGGGGGCGGAAATTCTGGAGGCAAGTAAGAGATAAGTCACACTGCTTTGCTATTACTATGCTCAGCATGGTCAAGAAACTATCAGAGTTTGGAAAGCAGCACACTGAACTTCTGTGCTGCTTAATGCAGTCAGATAACCATATCTCTAACTAAATACCTCGGATAATTTCTAAAAAAAAAAAAAAAAATCAAAACTTACAATGGTTCTCTTAGTATACTCAATATTGAGATACCGTCTTTTCAATTCACCTCTACATTGAGGTTAAGAAAAATCCTTCTGCTTTTTAGAAAAGACATCTATGAACACAAAATTATTTATTAATACTAGCCGATATATCTATAAATTGGTTATGAGAAACACAGAGTATAATAGTAGAATTTCTGTATTCAGTCACAAATTGTCATGATCTGTGAACAGTTTTCTTCCCGCAGAATGAAGATACCTAACACTTCACATTCACAAAATACTAGTTCATTCTTTAGCTTTCAAACTTACACAATGCCAAGAAAGCATGCTTTGAGGCCATGAGAACGAGCACCCTTCGCAGGATATCCTTGTTAATGATGTAGTTCTTTATGTGATAAGTATGATGTTCTACGCAGAAAGTTAGCAATTCCAGTATTAATGCCAAGAGCTGGGCTGTCTGAAAATCGTCTATAATAAAAACAAAACCAAAATAATGAAACATATCTAGGATATCGTCTTCAGAAGATAACTTCAAATATCCAACTGCAGCCTGGTAAACATTTCCAAGTTCTTGTGTATTCCCACAGATAGTTCAGAGAACATTCTGGGGGATATGTTTAGTCTTTAAAATAGAAATTGAACAAGAACATTATGGACTAAGTTTATTTACACAGATATGGCAGGAAACCCTCTTATAGGAAACTATAGGAACAATTACATTTTGTCTGTCTTAAATCAGTGTTTGAAGGGTTCAGAGAGTACAGTACTTAACACTAACATAAGCAGTCTTATTTAACCAAAACTCATTATGATGTCCATGTCTGTATCATAAAACACTGCCCTACATACAGTACCTTGACTAAGTTTGTACCAAAAATGTGATCTACTATGCCTTTTAACAAAAGTACTATACCAGAAGTATCTCAGGCTCTTTTAATACTTCTAAGACATAATCGTATCAGCATATACAAAAAAGTAACTCAAATCCTGCTTTTAAGTAGACAAATAATAAATTAAATACATGTTAGATTTAATAGTTCTTAAAAGGTAATGCTACCTTTTTAAAAATACTGCCAGACTGTTGACCGTTAAAGAACACAAGTATTTTAAACAGAAAAAATTCTCACTTCCAATCTATCTGGAAGCCAGTTGAGATAAAACAGATTAATTTAACTAATGCCTTGGAAATCTATACAAAAAATTTAAATATTTACAGAACATTTATGTATCATTTATGTACCTCCTTTTACACCTGTTTTGGATGTGTTATAATATTAATAACCAAACAGTGCTGCTGCTAGCAGCCAGCAAGAACAAGTTACTTCATCACTGATCTCTGCTTTCGTAGTCTGATTTAGAACCAATAGCCTCAAACTCAGCTCAGTATTGCGATACACACCTTCTCAGGGGCAATTTTGCATCCTCTCTAGTAATCCCTGACCTTAAAAAACATTTACACATGTTTACAAGTCTATGTCACTGAACAGCCCCATGAGTTACTAAAAATTATACAAATATTTTAATTTTTGCTGAAGCAAAAGCTGCAGCAAGTGTTTTCCACTTCTTAAATCAGATGTCTCTGCTGAATTTTGTGCTTATAAACTATTTAAATGACTAAATCATGAATCAACATTTTACTTTATCATAGTCTCAGATTCTCTTTAAGACAGAAAATGTCCTTTGACAGTTACTCTGTTTTAAACATTGACATTCAACAGTCTCGAGCCCAACATCCAGAGTGGCATTACCTTTGCTAGGCTTGTCCTCTGTGGTATTGGCCAATAAAGGGGCTGTCAGAACATGCATACAATGTTTGTAGAAGAAACCCAAGAACTCTGTCTTTTCTGTTTTCTAAAGAATAATAATAATAAAAAAATATTTATGTAACAAATCACCAAATACTCTACCAAAAACAACTGTAATTTCATTTGAAGGTATTTACTTACATTGGCAGTGGCAAGCATATTTTCTGGATCAACTAAAGTACGAAGCAAACCCATGAGTAGCACTGCCCCTCCAAGTTCTGGATCTGTGTCACAAATCATGTGTTCTATAATGAGGTTAATGAGTAATATATCCTAACGGGGGGGAAAAAAAAAACAAAAACAAAAACAAAGCAAAAATCAATTCTAATGCTACTCCCTTGCCCCAAATCCGAAATGATGTTTTAGAAGTGTTACTGCCTGGTTAAAAATTGTGTTCTATCAAATTTTTGTAAAATGTAAACAGCTACCAAATAAAAAACCCCAAGCTTAACAGAAACAAATTAACTTTACATGCCAATGACACATTCTTGTAAGCAGTTCAACAGTAACAAGGCAAGTAGTGAAGAAGAATCTTTCAAAGCAACTAAAAGTGGTTCTGAAATTAACCATCTAATTTAGAATTTAGTCTGAACTGAAATACCAAAAGACAAGAAGTACGGAGGCAGATACTTAACAGTCTCAAAATTCAACTGATTTCTGGAAGTGTTTTCAGAGTATAGAAGTTTTCATTTGTGTCCTTCTTTAGCATACATACCAAGAGTTTTATTTCCACAAACGTACAACAGTAAATTTTATAATGCTATTGAACTTGATGAGATTATTTTCACCTAAAAATAACCCCAATATCTATTTGCAGAAAACAAGAGTAACACATAGAAGTAGAAAATAGTATTTACATTTAGGAATCCCTACACTGAAGTTGCTTGGTTACCAGCGTCCTCCATAAAAGAGGACAGCCATCAGATTCAAGTGGCTGGAACCACCTGTGATATTCCCTATTCCAGCTGCCCCTTTCTTCCAGTACAGAAGTAGCAGCACCAGCAGGGTCCTGTTCTCTGGCATGTTTTTAGCATAAACAAGAAAAAAAACCAATTAACTATCTCCTCTACGGAAAAGGTAACACATGTTTTTTCTCCACCGAATACCACTTTGAAATACTTTTCTTACTACTAGTTGTGGGCTAGCATTCTGTATTAATCAGCAAAAATCCTACAAAGGATCTCTGGGAAATGTAAACCTCTGTCAAAAAGGGTACTTAAACACTTAGGACAGTAATTCCACTTTCAACGTGTGTGATAGTAAACTGAACACAGGTTTCTTACAAGTAAATTACAGACCCATGTACATGCTAAGATCAAGACTGAAATTTGTATTTTGCATTTTAAGGAGGCCATCATTCAAAACCACTATGTTTTGCTTGTATGATAGCTGATGTTAACCAAAATAGTGGTTTATGGTAACATGTTGTACTTTACACGCAATGGAACAAGAATATGTGAATGGACGAACACTTATCTCACCTAACAGAACTATTCAAAACATGGTAGTTCAGTTTTCTGTCACCATCATGACTATATTCAACACTTCTTCAGAACTAGGGCTCATGTCATTAATAGAGTTGTAAATATAAAATAGTATTTTCAAAAAACAATACACACATTTATAAGGACCCTGTACTTACATCATCATTCTGCTGCGCTTCCTGCATGACAAACTCTCGTACCATAGAAGGGTTATATTCAACCAAATATGAGAATATATCAGTGGCTGCACTTCGTACTTGTGCATCATCCATACCCTGAAAAAGTCAAATAAAATAATTTGTTTCCTTAAAAGAAAATGCTTAAATGGAATGAAAACCAATAATCATATAGCTTTTAATTCCTACTTACAAGTCATACCTATTACTAGAACTGTATTCTAAAACTGAATTGACTCTAACCTCCTCTATTGTACGTTTGACAACTGTTGGGCAAAATAAATTTTATGGTTTCCCTGCCCTTTGTCCTATTTCCTTACTTAATTATACACCAAGAAGCATGTAAAGATAGGAAAGCAAATGACAATACAAAAATGTAAGAATGCCAGGGCACTTACTGATGTCATATTGAAATTGCTTTTAAAGTTTCATAGAAATATTTTAAGTGTTCTGAATCTCAAGCTAAGACAAGACAAATGAAGCAAACACTTCAGAAAACCACGTGACTGAAGATTGGCATGCTTACTTTAAAAAAAAAACAAAACACACAACTCTGGAGATAAACAAAATCGTTATCACATATAAAATTGAGCTGACTTACCAGTATGACTTCTAGTGCTGGCAGTATGCCCATATTTGACAAGGTTTTGAAAAATGCATCTCTGTTTTGAGGTTGCAGTGTTTGAGAGAATGCACAAAACTCTTTCAGAAAATTTACCTGAAAAACAAGAATAATATACTAGTTAGTAATTAAAAAAAGATGCATGTACCAAATTGTAGTAACTGTCCCTTTCATGTACATTTTACAGATTTCTTACCAATTCCTGTCTTTTCTCCTCATCTGTGGCTTCATCTGTTAGTTGTGCAAACAAGTCTGTCAGAAATTTTTCATCTTCCTACAAAGGCAAAACAATACCATTTGTTTATCTGACAATATCAAAAGGCATCCCAGTGTAATAAAGGTCTTCTAAACCATGCTTCCTGCAATTAAGAGAACATAAGCTTGTGTACTGTAGTTAAACATACCAGTATCAACTTCCTAATTCAATTTTCAAACAAGTTAATATGAATCTTGTTCTTGAGCTGTTATCATGTTCAACAACACCCTACCCACCAACACTTCACTCTCAGTTACGATGTATCTTGAATTGCCTTTTGGCTGTCCTTTTTCTATTTTCTACCGACATTCTCATCATTTTGTCTATGACTTCTCTAACTTCCTTCCCCCTTGTCACATGCCCATCCCTCTAAACCATGCTACAATACCCTTGCTTCAACTGTTGACATATTTTGATAAACATGTTCTGCCACTCAGCCCTAAATACATATGTCTCTGGAACGTTATGAGATCTTTGCAGCAGAACTAAAGCAAGGACATGACAGAGGGAGAGCTGCGTAGTATCAGGAATGAGGTGAGATTCTTTCTCCTCTGTGCTGTGAAAAGAGTGTTCCTATTATGTACAGCATTTATTGGGCATTCTGGCTGGCAGCAATCAAAAACCATTGCATTATTTTTCATGCTGCTGTACCTTAGCAAAACTACAAACAGCAGCCAACACATTACAAATGTGTATTTAGACTGAAAGAAGCAGCAATACTTAGCTTCCCATAAACTTTACAGTCCTAACAACTAGAAGATTATTATAACAGAAATAAACCTTCCCCTACCCTTTCCCCAATATTACAGAGTAATAAGACAGCACTTGCTTGAAAGATATACCTGTACATCAGATCTGAATAGATCTTTTTCAAAAAGCTGCCAGAGTGTTTTTTCTTGTGTAGTCAGTAACACCATGTGCAATATCCCTCTATCCCAAAACCGCAGTGCTAGGAACCCAAGTTGCCTTGCTTATGTTTACACAGCATAAAGCAGAACCATGAAAGTACTTCAGATACATTCACATAAACTTTCTTATATTGCAAATTATCTAGGTACCTCATCCAGGTTCACCTTGCAGCCTTCCTGAGAAAATGAGTGCCTCAGTTCCAACAGCACACCATGCTAATGCAGCTATAATGCTGTCACAACCCAATCCAGGATCTCTACATGTACTACACAACATAGATAAACCCAAAATAGGTTGGCATGAGCTACTACCCTACAAGGCATTTCACCACACTATAAGGTAAACCCTGTATTTAGGATATGCCACACGTTTCCTCTTTTTTGTCGCTGTGCTTCTAACCTGACCCAACAGTCTAGCAATAATGGACAAAGAATGATTTCTAGACACAATTTCTGGTGCTATTTCTGTGACTGCTTCAAAATCAAAACAAAACGTGGTAGGAGAGGCCTCATTTGAAGGTTACTGAAATTCAACATGGAGGATCAAGCACTGGAAATGTAAAGTTTGACTTTCAGATTTCATCAAACATGTTCAAAACTGCTATTAGGGTCTTTGATTTCAAGAAACATAACTTAAGCTGTGATGAAAGAATACAAGGATGTTTGTCTAACCTGCCATCCAGCCGTGAGATGGCTTGGTAAGTTTTCTGTTCTAATATTTAACTTGTTAGACATTATTGGTAATATAACTAACCCACAGTAGAGATACTGACATACTTGTTTACTGAAATAAAACAAAACCCCACACAACACAAAAACCCCATAAATCCCAGTTCTTTTGAAGAACATGCAAGTTATTCTCCATGATTAGCAGTGCATTTAAGAAAAGGCTAAGTAGTTTGCTTTCATTTCTCTTTTTGCTATCTTGATCAATCTAATCTCTTCTATCAAAACTTTTGATAAGATGCATGCTTATCCCAGACTGGAAAGTGTAGCCCCTATTTCCATTCTTACCATGAAATGAACTTTTCACCTCCTTCATAATACCCAACAGTAAGTGCAAGTCAACACCACAGAAATCTCTCAGAATGATCACTTGGAAAAAATAATGGAAATTTCAGCATTTAGACATATCAGAGCCATGATTAGGCATTACCTAAAGTATCAAATTATTTTTTTAAGTCAAATGTGGAAGGAGAGGAGAAAACCCTGCACTGCTGGTGATAATGTGGGTCTCTCTCATGACCCACTGCAGAGCCCCAGGGACAGAGGTGGGTGGGAAAGCTGCACCTCCAGCACTACACGGCAGAGCATGGCAGGCAGGGCCTTGCTGGGCAGGGCGAGCTGGGCAGGACCCCTGCCCAGCTCTCTGATCAGATCCTGCCACATCCCTGCCTGGTTTAAGATGTAGCCATCCACAGCAGAGGACAACCCACTCACCCTGTTACTGGGCTGGTAAACATGTGGGACTTGTAGAGGGGACTTCCTAACATTGGGCAATAATGAAGACTTCAATGCTGACACTTAATGTTTCAGAAAGAATTTGCAGAAGTTCAGTATGTAATCATTTTTCAACCTTCCACATATATACTATAATGCAGTATTTTACAATTCTGTATTAAATATCACAGCATTTCCCACACCCATCTTCTCTCAAACTCCGTTAAATACATTGTCTTTTTAAATTATTAGGGTTATCTGAAATCTCTAGGCCTCAGAACAACCATGATCTATTTAAAACCAGACGAATTAAGACGGATCTGAATGATTCGAAACATCCCACCCTTATATGGGTAATATGCGGTAAAAGGCAGTTATTCCAAGGAAATAAATCACCGAATCACAGAATCACTAAGGTTGGAAAAGACCTTCAAGATCATCAAGTCCAACCGATAATCCAGCGCCACTGTGTTCCCTAAACCATGTCCCCAAGTGCCATACCCACAAGTTTTTTGAACACTTCCAGAGATGGCGACTCCACCACCTCCCTGGGCAGCCTGTTCCAATGCCTGACCACCCTCTCAGTGAAGAAATTTTTCCTAATATCCAATCTAAACCTCCCCTGGTGCAACTTGAGGCCATTTCCTCTCATCCTATCCTAGTTACTAACATTGCAGTTATGTCTTAGCCCTGAAATGCATTTAGGTGCTATGTCATTCCAGATGCTTAATGAAAGGTAGGTTGTAATTGATGGGAAAAACCCCAACCTTCTCACATTTATAAAAAAATTGTGATTGCAATGAACATTCTAAATACAAGATTCTCTTTCTCAAGCTGTAAAATTACTGACAAGGGCAGCATATCTAAAGATACATTCCTGAACAACACTACCAGACTCTATAGAAATACACAGTCTCAGAGCAGGGTTCATATATTTTAGAAGTCACATAGCACTGACACCAAGTGCTAGAATTACAGACGCTTAAATGTTTTCTGGTTTTTTTTCCAACTTCCAAAAATCCCTCAAAATCTATCTGTGAAGTGAACACATCGCAAATGCATCATTCTTTGCAGTTTCTGGCCTCTTCTTGCAGACAAGTATCAAAACCCATTTGGATGTATCTTAGAAGCTGTGAAGGTCACAATTGTTTTCCAAGAAAACAAAACTGCAAACAATAGTTTTTGGGGTAACTGGAGAATTTAGCTATTTTCCCCATGCACAGAAACTATTAAATGTCCAATACTTGAACAATGCAGATACCAAACACTAATTATATTCATTGAGGCTTTTGCAAGATCTAAGTAGATGCTCCTAGGATTCAATACCTTTCAAAGTTTGTGAAGATAAAATTAAGCCAGGCCATCTACTTAATCATTTATGATTTTAAAAACAAGAAAACCCACAGACAATATAGGATCACAAAAAAGACTCTATTTACATTTGTGATTCAACTTTCAAAGCAGTCCTGCTCTTCCCAAAAGGCACTTAAAGCATTCTTCAAAAGCAGGCCTCTCTTAAATACTATTAACTTTCAGTTATCAGATACTTCATGTCTGTGATTACACATAAATGACAAAAAACACCCCTTTCTCAAAAAAAGTCCACCTAAGCTGGTGGACATATTCTCTATCCCATTTTCCACCTCCATATTTGTTTTGGGCAGAAATAATATTTCAGCCCAGAAAGTGGAAGTTTCATAAAGTGTTACCAGCAAACAGAAAATTACAGCTTCAAACATACATTCTTTCTTGCTACCACACCAGAAGATTTAAAACAGTTTAAAATGTTTCAGTCTCCTTTCTCTCAGACTGCCTTCCCACACATGCCTTCATTTGCTATCAATAAGCTATTTCCACATGAGACAACACGCTGAAACAGCAGCAGGATCTACCTGATCACATCTGGAATTTCTGCATATACTGAAAATAATTTTCTGCAACGAAGAAGTTAATCTCAGAATTCATTAGCATGCACCACTTGCAAACTTCTTTCACTGTTATTTCCCTCAGAAAGTGGCATCCTTTTATACTTTATTGCAAGGTAAATTTTGCTGAAAGCAAATCTCCACAGTTATTCCTGAGCCAACTACTGCAAAACAGCAGACCAGCAGGAGATGTTCCAATCCTCACACATTTGGGCAAAACTACCAACATGCACCGACACAATTCTTCCTCTAAAACAACTACAGATAAAATTACATTTACATCTATAGTATTCAGTTACAAATAAGTAATTATCTCTAAAACTACTTTCAAAATGAAAAACAGCCCTTTGTTATATATAAATCCAGTAAAATGTACAGGTGTACCTAAATGCCTACAATTTTTTAGTTATTGAAAAGGGAGATAGGGACTATCAGTAATATGATTTCTGTATTTAAAAAATCTGATTTACCAGTAAAGTAATGCCATGTGATCACTGCTCTACTAGGTACATAAATATTTTAACATATATCCAGTATTCCCCTTCCACTCTTCACTTTCCTGAAAATAAAAGACTGAAGTCTAAATGCACATACTTGAAAGTAATCCTAACGATATTCTGTATTCTGGAAGATAAAAACACTGCAGGATCTTGCTGGCAAAAAGAACACGCCAATGAGAAAAGGGGGAGAGAACCGAAGGAAACAGTGTTTGCTCACTCTATGGCGCAGTTTTGCAAGTTTTTGTTTTTTTTTAAGAACTAGTTAATAATACAAAGGGAAAGAACTGGTGGCCTCCAGTATGGACATTAGTATGTATTTTTTAAATTGCAAAAGAGCGTCATATAAAGTAAGAAACACCACTTACCTGTCCCACCCCCACTCTCAAAACTTGGCGAACTCCATGTTTCAGCAAGGTTTCTTGGTGGCTATGACATCGCAAGACTAGAACAGGCTGGACCCCAAGCAGTAAGAGCATATTACATCAGCATAAGAGGGGCTGAAATTGGAAAAAAATGTTATATACCTCTTTCGTATCTTATGCACAGTGAATCACAAAACCTGCAATTGAGTAGGCTTCCACAGCAGTTAATTCTGTAGACTGGAAATACTGGTATCGTGGGCTTACTATCCATCATGACCAACAGTATCTAATTCAGTGAGATCTTGATGTAGTTATTTAAAATGACAGATCTTAGACAATCAAATCACAAATACACTAACCTCCATTTCTCAGAAAAGCCCATCAGTGTAAGCATTTTTATAAAGATCATGGGAAAGCTAACCTTAATGAAGAAGGGAGGAATAACAGCCCATAACCTTAAGTGCCAAAAGTGATCCATTCTCTATTTTTGGTTTTACCACAGGATAGGCAAGTTATTTACCTACCAAAGAAAGCAAAATCATGGAAGCAAGTATCTTCCATGACTACAGCATTAATAATTTCCTTTTTTTTAAAAAGACATCCAAAATATCTACTAATAAAGCCAAAATTCTTAAGAATCAGCATATTCTTATTTACAGAATTCACTAGTTATAATTGAAAAACTGATCTTAAATGTCAGAGACCTTTAATGACCTTAAATGTCCTATCTTGACACCAAATACCTTAAATACGACACAGTGGTAATTTAGAGTAGTCACCTGGCCTGTCAAAAAGCATAAGCCACAATCTGCACAGAGTCTTGCACAAATTTCTAGTAACGTTTCTGTAACTAAGGTATGGCTGAGTTAATCTGAGATGAGGGTATTGCAAAATGACACTTTAGTTAATACATAGCTTGACATGAAAAGGGCTCTTTAGACCTAATCTTTTTTTTCCCGTAGTGGAGTTAACAGTTTTTCTTTTCCTTTCCTTCATAGCTAGTGAGAGATAAAAGAACAGAATATAAACCAACTCAGTTTTACACGCAATAGTTGCAGTATGTCATAGGATACCAGCTGCTCACAGAGTTTACTTTTAACCTGAGAAGTAAAACTTCCTAAAAAGATAGCTCTTTTGTCACACTCTCAGTGGTCCAGGAGAGACAACCTAAAGTCAACAGCAGAAGCATAACAACTTGTATTACGCATCAACTAAGAACTTGAGACTCATCCGTGGCTTCTAATAAACTACCATGAAGCATCCCAGAAACACTTCAATTAATAATGACTTCTAAAAGAAATAGCTTCTTAGGTACACACGTAAGGTTAGTGAGCACCAGGATCTCATAAGATTTAAAACAATGAATACCAGGAACTCCAATTACAGACAACTTTAAATCTTAGTAACCTCCCCCAAAGTACTGTGATACAACCAGCTACAGAAATGTATGTTACACCACACCATAATGGAAGAAAGTCCTTAAGAATTAGTTATAGAAATGAAATAACAAAAGCAGTCTTTTAATTTTGTTCTCAGAACATTATTTATTCTGCTTAAAGAAATGAGAAGGAACAGTATCATACATTTTTTACACAGACTGTGGGAATGGGGGGGTGGAGAAAGGAAAGGGGAGAATGAGACTTTAGGAGGCAGAGATTACAGAAAAGTGCAACCTGACATATTGCCCTGTAAATAAATGAATAAATAAATGCCAGGTAAGTAGGTTCAAACCTTGGCTTAGAGCTACACTGTGAGAACTCGAAAAATCATTCCATCAATCAAGCCTTCTAATCTCTTAGAAATGCAATGAGCATATAATTTGTGATAGCCTCTTTTAATTCCCTCAAAACCAATAATGGATCATCAATGTCAAATAATTCCCAACACTCTTATTTATAAACTCAGGGAGTTCCCCCTCAATGCTATAGATCTATACTGTGAAAGGCCTTGGAAGTGTAATACAGCATAGGATATATTTTCTTCCTTGTGTGCTACCACTCTTGGCTACTCAAGGCTGTAGAAAGCACTTGAACAGTTTGAAATACATATCAAACTTTGAAAGTTACACAATGCTAATTCTTCTGGCTCCACTGCACAGGGAGTATACTTTATTCTCAAGCACAGACAACAGCAACAGAAGTGAAGATAAGGTTCAGAATCTTGCGATTACACAACAAATCAAAATCTGATCTGAGCTTCTATGTCAACTGTAACTGCAACTAACAAGTTTCTCAACCACACTAAACCTTGATATTCTAACCCAAGCTTACCCTACTTCTATTAACACAACACAGGTTGTAGGAGACAGAAAAAAGGAAAGCAATCGGCCACTAGTCCTTGATCAAGTTACCTTGGGATTTCTGGTAAACACACTCTTAATGATTTTGCAGGATCAGGTCCCCTTTCTCCTTGCCCAGGTTCCTTTTCAAAGTTCAAGATCCCTTTCAAGAATCAGCCGCTGACACCAAGACTCTTAAATAATTCTTCCCCTACTCCTCCTCAAGCCAAAATGTATCATCCTCAGGACTTTGCTTTTAGCAACCCTTGCAAAGAGATCAAGATACTTTAGAGATACTAGTCATACTGGATACTCAAGTTGAGGCTCTTTAACTGAATTTTTTTCAGCATTCTCTCAAAGTTAGACTTGTAAGTTTTCTCAAATTGTCCACTCCAAAACAATTAAGGCCTTCTGACTCTTTCAGATACACATTTGTGACTTTGTTTTTCAAGGACACACATACAGACATGAAGAGTTTGGTTCAGTTGGGCATAAACTGGGGTCTAGTACTACTGATGATGCCTCAGGTTTTCCACCAGGCCTCCAGTGGCTGCTCCAATAAGCGATGGTCTGTCCACAAGGCACATGGCTCAGCTGCCAGGCCCGGGTGATGTCTCACACATCTGGCTGCCTATCAAATATTCCATGTGTGGACATGATAGATTAAAGATTCAACACAATGGATTAAATAATCTCAACATTCTGATCAACTGAGTGTGGCGGACGAAAAGTCAGGAGCCCTAGTTTTGACAATGAATTGTCATATGAGCTTGCAAAAGGAATTTTCACTCTACTTTGCTGCATTTTCCTTGAAATTAAATGAAAGGGTACATTCTGAGATTCAACTGAAGATAAAAATTATTAACTTATCAGTAGCATCTAGCACTTTGTCCATTTCTCGGAGTCAGATAGCCCCTATAAAGACAGTGACTATTCATTTATTAAACATTAGGAGAATTAAGATAACTAACTTCTACAAACCAAAACACAAATGCTCTAACACTTTGAGTTAGCTGAAAGCTTTATGAAGCTCCCATTACAGAGATGTGTCACCTATTTGTACACAATTCAGAAAAGTTCATGGGTCAATGCCGAATACTTAAGACACGTAGGCAAGATATCTAAAGCATCATATAATCTCTTTACATTTGCAGTAAGACATATGTAATGAAAAACTGGTAATTCCAAGCAATATTATTTAGAGACTTATAAGACAAACCACAAAAACATTCAAGCACCTAAGGCAATGTTATGTTCTGAACATGTACTTTGCAAACAACTAATTTAATTTACTTCAAAATTAGAAACAGTTATATCCTGGTATGAGTTTATATTTGTGAAATTTAGGTGAAGTAATTTGATTTTTTTTCTCATGGTAACATGACAAAAATTATCCTTAGTTGGAGTGCCTAAAGGTCTCAAAACACAGGGGAAAAAAAACCCCTAACAAAATCAACCCTTCAAAACACAAACAGTACTATTCATTCCAAACAATCCTCATTCAGGATTCTATATATGTTTGCTCCATTTAAATCAGTTAGAGAATCTAGTCCAAAAATCTGAAATTTAAGAACGTATATTTAACAGCTCAGTACTCAAATCCATGCCTTTTATGTCATATTCAAAATGACTTTCAGAATCACAGAAGTGAAGGTTCCACCGAAGCACCTCAAGCTTTCCAAGAAAAATTTTCCAACTTTCTCTGCCCAAGAACAAGTAGAGATTGTGAAATTCTGACTTACCTGTAACATACCAACTATTTCCACTTTATTAAAAAAGATGAAAGAATGAAGTGTTGATAGCATATTCTCCTCAAAAACTGAGGGAGTGGGTAGGACCATATCTTGAATATACTGTACTCTGTATGTCTGATGTATTTTTTGCTTCAGCTCTGGATCAGATATAGGAATCACCTCTTTAAATTTTGCCGTTTTAGTCAGAAATTCCCTGTGTTTCCGAGACTGTGATAAAGATGGATCATACTCTAGGCATCCAATTACGTCCATTATACATTCCTCAGAAAACATGACTTCAAAAAGTGCAGTTCTGTTCAAAAGGAAAATTCCCTTGATAATTTCATATAAGTGGTGTAGTCCTTCAATGTTTTCCAAGTCTTCGCACACATGAAAAATTTCTAAGAGCTTCTTAATATAGCCCTCATTTTCCAGTGCTAGTGCGAGTTTTTCACGACGTAATGGTGAAGGCAGTGAAGATGCCACAAGTTCTGCAATTTCTTCTAGTCGACTTAATTCACAGGATGGCAATTCTAGACCTGGTGATGACATATCATCAAAACGTTCTTCCTCAGATTCATCAACAAGGTCCTGAGTAATATCGACAGAAGGGTCTTTGCCTTGAACCTACAAAATAAGATGTGCTCAAAATAGTGTTTAATGTTTACTGCTACTTGAATGCTTTTTAAAAAAATACCATTTCAAATGTCACACACTTTTTCTTTGTCCAGACACTTTTGTATGGCCAAAATAGTGCAAATGTAAGTCAGATGTTGAGTACGACTGGTTTGGAAAATAGGAGATAATGAAAAGACTTCTTCCAACAGAAGGCTCTACAAAATTATTTCTACATTAGATACCTAATTCTATTTGTTTTCTATAAAAAGGAGGAAGAATAAAGAAAAAAGCTGAGTTTTCGGAGTAGTTCAAATAAAAAAGGAAATTCATAATTACTGGTATGGACAACAACTTTTTAAGAGACTACCGAGCTAAGCTACTTATTTCCAGCTTTATTCTCTGCAGACAGATTTTTCAAATGCAAACCAGTATTACATCAGTGCAGTGACAGCTTTAAACATTTATGTATAGGCTATTTAACTGCTCTTGACACTTTTCAAAGCTTCTGCTACCTCAAACAGAGTAGAGAGGCCAGTCTTGTTAATTTAATGGTTGTTTTCAGTTCTGGAGAGCTGCAAGTCACAATCTGTTACTATGTACTTTCTAAATACTCGACAGAGGCACAGATTACCCTTTTAAGAAAACCCCAAACTAACATTAACAAGAAAGCAGTGGAAGCCTGTAGCTGTCAGAAAAACAAGGTGCAAAGATCTCTTTAGAGATACAACGAGGAAACTGCGGAAAGTACACACTAGCGGGAAAAAAAAAGGGACAGATGCTTGGGCACGAGCGTGTTTCAGCTTTAATGACATTTTAATTGTAGTATCTGCTTGGAGTCTGATGTATCAAATCCAGAAAGACACTGCTGTGCAGAACAACAGAAAGTACTGTTCTCTTTAATGCTGAAAAATCAGCAAAAAAAAAATCTGGGAGAAATAATTCTTCATGGATAACAGCAAGCCTATACATAGATTAAAATCAAGAACGCTGTTAAAATCCACATACTGTTCTGCTTATACATCAGCAACAACTTCCAATATAAGTGGTATCTAAGTTTTCGAAGAAGAAGCTTTAGTGACTGAGGAAGCTTAAGATCTTGAAAGTACACTAGACACAAATACAATAGCATGGCCTCAAAACAGGAAGTAAAGACACTGGTTTCTTACAAAAATATTAGATCTTTATATGAGGCTGAGGAAGCTGGGCTTCTTATCTGGGTGTTTCCCAAGAACACAATTTCCCCTTTCCCCCATTTTGTTTCTGTCCCCAACTTTTGGTCCTTTCGCTCCTAAGGTTCCTGGAAATGTTTCTGTACTTATTTACATAAGTGGTAAACTGTTCAAAAGTCTCATTCCTAAAAAAACGAATGATCTACACACATGCAATTATGAAACCAGATTTCTTTTGCTTTATTTCTGAAATCCATGAGAACAAACTCCAGAAGAGAGCGGAGAGAGCTGAAGTCTGTTAAGAACAGAAAGAGAAAGCACAGAGAGAAGGACAGCACAGAGAGAGAATTAGACAAATTTAGGGAAATCCCACCCAATATAGCACAGAAATTAAGAAAAGTTGTAATGCTCGGAATGGAAGAAAAAACCCAAACAGGAACTGACAAATTGAACTAACATCAGTGAATATATTGGCTACATGCTTTTGGGTATTGGTCAACAGTTAATACCTGACCAAATGCTATCCAAAATCTATACCGATTCAGTAACTATGTAGTCATTCGGTCATAGTGGTAAAACATAAGTTAATTAGCACATATTAAAATATGTACATGCTACATATAAATTGTTTGATTTCTTTAAACTGTAAGAACTATAGCTTTGAGAGGATAACACAGGGATAGAGCTATCCCCTACTGCAACTACCAGATCAGTCTTTCATATCCTGACAGTCCAGAGAAGCATACTGTCACATTTACACAGAAAAAAATGTGTAAATTTGAAATGAAATGAAATGAAAAATGAAAAAAGTTCCGTTGGGAAACTCAGCGTTCCCCTCACCTGAAAGAGAAAAACAAGATAAGAGAAAGAGAAGAATGAGAAAGGTAGAAAGAGAAATGTGAATAAGTTATGGTTAACTCCATGAGAAACACATAATGAAATTCACTAAGAGCTCACATGCATTCTTCTCCCTACAACAAAACTTTGGACAGGTATCCTTCTCCCTTTTTGCCAACCTGGAAAACTTAATGATGAAATTAATTTTTATGAAAGTTTTTAAGCACTCATTTTGAACTAAACTTCCTTGTGTGATAACAGAACTAAAAAGTTATGCTAAGCAAAAAGACCTGAAACTGTTTGACACCAACCCCCCAGTTTAAGTTCATATCAAATTTCTGGAGGAAGGAGAAGATTTTCCAAACTCAAACATGCAAAATTTGGGAGACGTGGCTAAGATGATAGTTTTTACTTTCTATCAGATTTAGCTCTTAGAACAGCCTAAGAATACTGAATACAAATACTAAGATGATTTAGGTGTCTCAATCTTACATTTATCAAACTTACCTGACATATTTTTTCCCATATTTCATCACATCCTGCTTTTTCTTGAAAGCTAAGTGCCAAATCATAATTTTCAGCTTCAGACCACACAATCAAGGTATCCTTTAAAGAGAGGAAGAGTATTTTCAGGCAATGTATTTCAGATTTTACAAACCTGAATAGTGTTTCAAGAACAGAATTTTAAAATAAAAACAGCTTGACACCTAATTATGATAGGACAGCATTACAACAAACAATCATCATACTTTGTACGATTTTTATACATTCTGAGATTCTTAGAATTAAAAATATTTCTGCATAAACCAGAACAAGAAAGTTCCAGAAAGATACTGAAAATTTTAGTCCTTAATTCATGTGACCATAATATTGTAAATCTCAAAAAGGTTGATCTAGGATATGTACTTCTACCTCAGTGCATCACCTGATAAAATATGGTAAAAAAAGCAACAGGGTTTTGTGTGTTTTTTTTTTTTTTAAAAACTCTGTTTCAACTGGACCACATAAAACTGCACATCTTTTGTAGCATCAAGTTACAATAATTTTTTTCATTTTTTTATAGGAACCAGAAGGTACTGTGCTAATGCACAGAACAGTTGCTTAAAAAGCAGCCCCAACATGCCTACAAACTTTAAACAAGAACAGAAACTTAAATATGCACACAGTTAATTGCCTAAGAGTATGCACACCTGTTACACTGAACCACACACACCTTTTTTACTCATTCCAAACTACAACTCTGAAAGGAAGTTTTGCCCTAGATTTCTAGAAGTTAGTTGAAACCGTGCTTAGCTATGTTTACTACCCAGACACTTAAGCTCTCATCTAATTGCTAGAATAGTTTAAGAGTTTATCAGAGCCCTCGTTTTTCCCTGCATGGAAAAACAATATATGGAAGTGGAAGCTGATGCTGCAAACAGCAATATCCCACACTGATAAGGTATTTGACACAGTAGTTTACAGACATAACTAAATGCTACTAAATAACTGTGAGAATTAAACACGAAAGAGAGGAACATACAATCTGCATTATTTACATATTGAATCAAGTTTTATTTTAAATGTGTTTTGTCCTCCTATAACAGCTAGCTGAAATATAGCCACATTAAATATATATAGCCCCATGAAACTGCATTATTTCAGTTCAGTGCTAAAACATGCGTTTACTCACTAGGACAAGAAACATGAGAATTTTTGTACTTTTATTTCAATAAGAACCATAAAATAAAGAGTATTTTTGCTTCATTAGTATATATCTTGCTTATATTGATTATTCCCACAGGAATTAATTTCAAATATTTGTGAAAGCACTGTAAGTTGCCAGACATTCATATAGTTTAAGACAGTTTATTAATTAGGCTTAATTTATTTCAAATATTAAAATGAACATAGACGATAAAGAGAAATCTTACATTCAGATTTCAATATGCACTTACTAGAAAACTCCTTAAACTAAACTATAATCTAAACAGCACAATCAGCTAGCTCCATTAGGATTCAGTCAAGCAATATAATATAATCAATTTGCCATTACCAGAGCAGCTATACTGCTTCAGAGGCACTAATGGCTTTACCTTGCAAATGGCAAATAGTTTACCTTTTCCTTTTCCAAAGGGTTGAGGAAGAGGTGGTACACAGAAGAAAGGGATTTAGGAAGACCACCTCCAAAATACAAAAGGAAGAAGAAAGTCACAATTAATAGTTTATTCTCTACAAGACAGGTCACGGTGCAAATACTCTGGTAATAACAGATTGACAGCACCTAGTACTGCTGACTCCTGTAGAGTAAGAAAAATAGCAGTTTACAAAAATTTAGAAAGGGAAGGTTAAAAAAAAAAAGTTGTGCTTTTTTTACCATCTTTTAAAAACAGTATGTACCTTACTGTAGTATTCCTTGTATGTATTGAGTTCAAAACCTAATACATTAACCTCTGCAATTAGTATTTATGCTGCAGTAATTTTCAAGGCCACTGTCTCATTAGCTTCCCGTTGAGTTGCACTTACTTAACTGAAAAAAACCACCACCCTAACACTAAATCTTAAGTAGATCCTAGCAGAATTTGCAATATTCCTATCTAATTAATTTCCACTTAAGTGAAAGTGGTTAGATTTCCAAGCAAGCCATTTCCAAACAAAGATCAAATTATATCTTCTTCTCTATAAAGAATATGACTAACGGATAGGGAAATCACTAAAAGAGAACAAGTAAGGACAGTGTTATTTACATTAACTGCAGTAAGTTGAATAGATAAAAGCTCTAAGTCTCTGAATAAAATTCAGCATTGGACAAAGATATGTGTGTCTGTCTTTTTCCTCTGGGGATAAGAAGGATGGAGGGAGGAAGGCAGGCACAGGAAAAATGAAAGGGAAGACACAAAGGTAAAGCTGCTTTTGAAAACTATAGTCACAGATGTACAGAAGTGTATTTAGCCATAGTATAGCAATTGTTCTCATTAAACAAGGTCATCTACTATCATACATGGAAGTTCAGACAGTATTTTTTTACTTCTACACATTCCAATTTTTTTTTTAATTGTTTCTTCTTTGGAAAGCAAAACAAAAAACTGCTGGAAAGTTATTTGAGCAGCAGAACAATAATCTTCAAGTTTGGTTTATTAATATTCAAAAAGTATTCTCCATTTGCCAACATTAACAATTTCAACTGATTAGTTATCTGTTTTCTTATCACACAAGAATTTCATATTATAGATTAATATTAATGCCTCAACATAAAGCTATCGATTGCTACTCTCTGGATCTTGTAAGAGCACTGTTTGTACATCCTTTCTTGTCTGAAAGAGTTTTTAAAAAGAGAACATGAAACAAAGCGAGAAAAGCACTTCACACTGTTGCATAACATACAGTTCAGTCAAAGTTTAAATTCATTGTTAAATGCAGGCACTTATTAATGTAATTTCATTTTCTTAATCCTACAAAAGCTTATAATCATCAAAAAGAAGAGCAGTACAAGACTTACACATGTAAGAAGAAGTGACTGAAGGAAATTCTAGATACAGTTAAAGATAAAAAAAACATGAATAAAAATCTAATTTTTGCTTGTTTTATTTAAAGGAATCTCTCTGTGTGTTTGATCTGAAAACTCCTCAGCGTAATTTGAATCCACTAACTACTCTGGATCTCTCAGCTATAGAATAGGACTATCTGTTGCTTCCAAATGCCAAACATTACTTCTTGCAACTCCAAAATGAATTGAAATTTCTCAAGACTGCCTCCTCCCTTCCAAGGGAAAGCAGGAGTGTGAATAAATACACTTAGTAACAGTAGCTATTGGTTAGAGAGGTAAGGAGCCAAGTCTTGCACATTACCTCTCTATGAACATAAAATCTTCAATCTTATACGATTCATAAAAGCAGTTTTGGCTCAGTTTGATCAAAAACATAACCTTTTTTTGCATTACATTAACATTAGCCTCCAGACAAAGAGCTGGATGGGATGACCAAAACAAACATCTAAAACTTGGTCTTATCTAGTTTGTTGTTTAACACAATTAAATTGTGAAACTGCAGTATTACATTATAGCTACGTTGTGTGAACTGAGTCATAAACATGGATAAATGTTTTATCATTGAAGGCTTTTCTACTGAGTGCTCTGCAAGAATCCTAGCATTCTAGCTCCTCACATTTTTCAAGATGCGTTAAGAGTTCTTGGCAAAAGTTTTTTAAAATAAGATGACAATCAGGAAACTACTTATACAGAGTTCACAATCTTATTCTGAATTTGAAAATAATTTGCTGCTTTGCAAAGAAATATTTTGACAATGGTGACAGCTGGATGCGTCATCACTACCCTAGCCCATACAAAATTTGCTGTCTCCCTAACACCATTTATATAAATTTGTCTTCTTTCATATTATTGTTCATTATGACTGCTCAGATACAATGAGGAATCCTTAATTTTAAGCAAAAATTCTGAGCATGGCCTCCTTCTAGAAGACCTGTGCATTTAACATTCTCTTCAAGAGGTATTTATCATTTGTACCAATGGCTAACTTTTTGCAATCTTATCCTTATAAAGATACAGCCAGAGGCAAAACTTCAGAATACAATTGGGCATTTCTTTGCTGCTTGTCTCAAGTGTTGGCTGCATCAAGCCCAGCTGGAGCAAGTTCTGGTTAGGTAAGGATTTTCAAGGAAGCACTACTGTGTGCTCCAGCTTTTCATTCTTAAGAAGCTAATCTTCAAAAATACTACTGCAATAGTTTAAGCCAGCAAGCAGTAGCAGTTGTACTTAGATGGAGAGGGCTTAGTATCTACCATATGATTTCTCCTCACTTTTAAAAATAATTTTCAAAAGGCTTACTTTCCTTAATAGAAAGGTTGTTGAATGCACACTGTCAGTCTCAAGTTCTTGCCATAACACAGAAGTCACGCTTTTATTAGACATTACATCAGTTTTATTTAACTATTAGCAAGCTGATTAGCAGATGTGTTATAGAGCATTCATACACTCTCCAAAAGCAAGCCATGGGATTTCACAATGAAGGATTTCAGAGCAACTAGTAGTCCAGATTTGATTCTGCTGTAAAATTGATTTTAAGTTTTCTTTCCTAATGTGATAAAATTCAGAAAACTTGTATTGTTTGACATTGCCCTCTCACTGGTGTTCACTTCCAGGGAGAATACTAGTCTTTTCTCTAGCTCCAAAATATTCTCTTGACATCCCTATGAGATTTAAGCTACTCTCAAGAAGTAGTGATCCCCCAAATTAGATAGATCTTTCATAAATTCTTGCTTTCTATCTTAAAAAGCTAATTAATCTCTTCCTACTAGCTCTCAAACGATTTAGGCCTATGACACCTTCCTGGCCCCCACTGGAAGTTCAACAGAAGAAGGTTGTTCCTCCCCCTCTTGGACTGACTGGTTGCTAGCCTTCCCTATCTAAGCCCTTACATTGTTTAGTTACAGACACTTCCCTGGACATGCTAAGCCACCTTTCAGCATCTTGGTAGCTAATTATTTGCAGTCAAAAAGTACAGTTTCATAAGCAGCTTTGTGCTTATGAAATAAATTACTGGCACTACCCAGTTTTTTGAAGTTCAGTATATATAGTTATCGTGGTAGGTTGTGGCAGAATCTTCAAGTTAAAAAACCCTACCCCAGTAATGTAATATAAAGTTTCAATCCTGCATTTGGTTTTGGGCATTTGCTCACCTAGAACCTGGATATATGGACACGCTAACAAGTTATCCCAAAAACTGGAATAACATATCAAAGGCACACTCAGTCTTTTGGCAAAATGTATTGTATTAGCTTCTATGAAGCTCAATCATCATATGTGAATTTTCAGTTAGCTATTTCACAGCTGCATTCCCATGAATCACATAGAATAAAATCAGTTTATTAGTTCTATAACAGAACCTCAACTCACTGGCCTAGTGAACATACCCAGAAACATCAGAAAAATTACATTTCACAGGAAAACACGCACAAAGATAAAGGAACATGTAATTTAAAATGGATAAACCAATCCCCCCCTGAAAACCAACAGCGGTCACTCCCGTTGTTTCTCCCCTCAGCCCACAAAACCACATGTTTTTCCTTACTACCTTAGCTACCATAGGCACAAATTTTATTGAAACAGTTTCACTGTTGGCTCACTCGTCTTGACAGCGAGGGTAGGAGTTCATCTTCTCTGAGCATTCTGCCAGTGCCTTTCTGGACCTCTTCAAAATTTAGTTTTGTTATTAATACGTCTGCTCTCAATCATTGAAGGATTGCCACCTTCAAGCTACATACCTTGTAGACAGTACTCTGGATGAATTTAAGTTTTATATTCTTGTGAGGAACTGAAAAAGGGACTGCAAAAGCAGAGGACACGAGACACCAAAGTTTCTAGTGCAGAGGCAAGACTTTGTAGCTGGAAGCTGTAAGCAATTCAAGTCTTCCTTGCTTTAGGCACAAAAAGGGATGCAATACATACTTCATCACTCAGTTACAGGATGTACATGGGTATATCTAAAGTAAAGTTGAGGCTATGTCTTTACTGTTCTATTGCTAAAGCACTGCCAAAGTATATTGAAAAGTATATATTCCAGTCCACACCCGTATCAGCTTCCTCCCTAGATAAATGCTACATATATATAGTTTATTTACCCTTTAAGGTTGCATAGGAAGACATGTGTTGTCCTAAAATACTAGTGCAATTACTCATTTTCTGAATAAGGATCACTTGTTTAAGAACAGCACCTCTGTCAGCACATTTTGAAATTGTGTCATTTTAATGCCTTTTAAAAAGAACCAACATAAAAAACAGGGCATTGATTGAAGTGTGTAAACTGACTTCACCAGGACATCACAATTAAAATGTCTTCTACCTTTACTGGTATATTAAGAAGGAAAATTAAGTATTCTATGTGTGGTCCAGCAACCCATAGCATAATTAAATTCCACTTACTAAACAAAATTTTCTTTTAAGCTGTGTGCTACTTACCTATAATTAAATCCAGTATATTCCATATCAAAGTTATAGGACCATTACTGTAACATTTTAAAATAAGAATACCATTAAAACTTAACATATAGCCCTAAACAGGAATACAAGTCCAGAGGGCGAGTGGCTGTACTGATGCACATTTTGCTTTTTCAGAAGAAATCTGCTGCCTACAAATAGTATCTTAACATGAGAAGTATTAGTTCTTTTTCCTGAGCCACAGGACATTAGTTTCTCAAGTTGTTTTCTTTCTAGTTTATTTTCCTCAGATGGATTCCTTCCTTCTAGTTCTAGTGTAAGTAAGCATGAGTTTGCCAGAAAGTACATGGTTCAGAGCATCCAAAAAACTTCCACTGGTAGCAATTCCATTACAGAATCAGATACATAGACCTATCTTTCTTTCTGAATGCACAGAAGAAAAATGACTCTTCATTGTGACAGAAAAACTAATCTAATTTATCTGACTAGTGAAGGGGTAGTTAAAAGACTGCCTATCTATTTCATGCTTCAAGAAATTATTTCAAACCTCTAGATGGCAGGTAAGTCTGGGAAGGCTGGGGACTAGATTGTGCAAGCTGAAGTATCTCAGGACCGTGTTGATGTATGAAAAATGAGTCCCCGAGCAGGTCTCAAGATCTGCCAAGTATTCCTCCTCTCCAAACGGAAAAGCAGACAGTTGTATCTACCACCAATTAGATCAACATTTACGTGCACACAGAGATCTGACTAATCCACAATAAAGGGCAAAGGGCAGAAATTGCTTTCAATCCTAAACCCCAAGAAATGTAAAACAGAAAATCTGACAAAAATTTTACTCAAATCTCAGGTTCACAGGGTATGGCTTTTGGTGGTGGTTTGGTTTTGGGTGGGGTTTTTTTGTTGGTTTTTGTTTTATTGATCCCCCCCGCCCATTTTTGGTAGTCTCCATGGATGTTTTACATGCCAAAAGAACAGAGGCAGCAAGGCAAACTTGTACTCAGGTCTTCACAGTATTATTTTAACAAATAATGATCTAAGCTGTGACAGTTATCTTTAAAATATACATATTAATACCCCGAGATTGTCTCATGAATTGTTGATATCACAAATTATGCAATCTGTTTCACACTGGCACTTACAGTGCAGCATAGGTCCAAGGTTCTTTCACCAGTGGAAGAACTCCACTGTTTATCACAAAGGTATCTATGGGCTCATTTAAGAACCCAAAGCAACTGGCATAGCAAGCTCCACTAAGAGCTTATCTATCACACATCTATCCTTCCTTCCAACCACCTATTAGTTGGTCCAATAAAAGTTTGTTTCTTCTTACAAGCCTCATGTCAGCCTAGATAAAAGTCAGAACTCATCCACTTATCCCATTAAATATGTGAAGTGCTCACAAGCCACATGCTAAGTAATGTCACAGTAAAAACAGACATACTGCTATTTACCCCTTTAAAATGGAATGGAGGTTCACCCTCAAAACAAAATTTTGAGATAAAAGGCTGGTAAGACGATAGAACTTGAAAGTAACTTTCCAGTGTTAAGTCTTACATTTGTGCGAGAATTTTCTTGAAATTTTATGAGCACAACTGACAACTGCAGGCAAACTCGAAAGCAAGTCTTCCACCTCAGGCTGCAATTTCACTAGTAGCTGAGGTGACTTAAGTGGCATTCTGCAGCCAAAAAGGAAAGATCTTGCTCACTCTTCCATCCCACAGTTCCACAAATGGATCTTGTGTGAGGTGGCTTCAAACTTCTGCTGATGTAGAGAGTCACCAGTTTTTGAAGAGGCATTTGGAGTACCAAGTTGATTTTCTTGTGGTTTAGTGAGTTTAGGCAGTTCAGGTTCTATGAGCAGAGCTGGAAAGAAGCAATTGTTCCCTTTCAGCTGCTAAGCTCCACACTTGGCTTATATGGAATCAGGTTTAAACTCTGAACTTGCCTATTACTAAGGGCAAGGATAAGTAGGCTTCACCTGAACAAGTATGTGCTACAAAGTAGGATTAATACACACACCAAGAAAGATTTGGTTATTTCTAAGGCTCAGAGTGGAGCCCTACATTCAATCTCTATTAGAGACTGCTTCACTTAAATAATATGAACAATCCACCTGCAAATATAAATTTCTGTCTATGCAGCGTTTGAAAGCTTCAAGACCAGCATTTTTCCTTCTTCAGCACAGAAAATGTACAGTGCTGTTCTAACACGACAGATTCATGTTTAATATTTTTGTGAAAACATGGTTAGAGAAATAATCACCAGTATCGGATTCGTGCAGTGCTAGATTACAATATGTCTGACCCAGAGTAGCAATGAGCACAAAAACAAAATGCTGTTGTACCGACAAGCATGTGTCGTGGTTTGCACTCATCTTACAATTTTATGCCTACTTTAGTATACTTCATGTTTGATCTGGTATAAAGCCTATTGATACAAAGCTCAGCCCTCAATGCTCGTTGAACAGTTTTGAACCAGTAAAGCAAGTTTATACTAGATGACCACTTTATGCAATAGAGCTGTGAAATATTCAATGTCATTTTAGCAGTTCTAAAGCTCAAGCTACTCTATCATAGAACCATGACCTCAAGCTAGTCAGGATTGTAAGTAAGAGTTAGTTTGCTTAGCATTTTTGCTGGTCTTGTCCTTTCTTACTCCCTGCAGTTGATTCTCCATTCCACATTGGCCTTACCAGTTGTTCAGTACAGACAGTTTATATGGTGCATGATTAATTATATCAAGGAGGAAACACAGGTTACATTTTCCAAGGAAGGATATTTTTTACCCAGACTGGTTCTCCCCATTCAGTTTAACACACAAGCTGCAGCCACACAACCACTGGGACTGCCCGTGAGCAAAATTACAGTATGTCTACACTTATAAGAAACTATTAAAGCTGAAGACCCAAGAGTGTTTCAACACATCACCTGTACCTGACAGGATTTTAGCAAGTCTGAGCTGACCAGACAGGCAACAAAATACAATCTGGTTCAGCATTTCTACACCTTTAAGGGTTTAGAAACCTCTAATTCTCAGCATCCGTGAGATAAGAACAGCAAACAAAGTGCAAGACCTACAATTCACTTCTCATCCATCTCAGTAGCATTCTTTTGGGGCTCACAATCTATGGCTTAAATAATTGAAGCAAGGTGCAAACTGGAGGTGAGAAGCTGCTTTTATGTATACAGAATGCTCTGAAGCAGTAGTAACCCATATCCATCTTCCAAGTAAAAGCCAAACAAAGGTAAACATGTAAATAGCTTTAAAACCTTCTAGTCTTCTCTTAAATAAAATATATTGAAAGTTGTAGTATCTGAAATATAAAGAAGAAAAAAGCCAGATGATAATTCTCAGGAACCTCAGCTACTTTGTGGTTTTCACACCTATGCTTTGCCCATCACTCCCAACACATTTTTTGTTGTAAAGCAGAGTACAAATTATCTATATAACATCACAAAAAACCAGAGAGAAATAACACAAATGATTCATGAAATGTACAAAAATGTTGAGAACTACTTTGCCTCCTATTTTTTGGTACAAGAACATACAATATAATTTGCAATAGAGGCAAAAAATTACTGTATTACTGAAGTTCAAGGACCTGCCTTTAAACATGAGAGCGGGGGGAAAAAAGTATGTTTACCTGTTGCTTCTGGTACGCAGTGTTCGGGTTAATTTTGGACTCCAAAAGAAGAGAGCCTAGAAAACAAAAGTTCCACTTATTTACATGTGTACTAAAATTTCAACCTCAACGTGAATTTTCTGATGACTCTTTCCTATGACTGTAGGTATTAACACCTTTCCTCCCAACAACAAGCCTGTTAAACCCGTATCCTACAGCTTTATATTTAATTTTTCCTTCAAAGATACTGTTCACATAGTACGGAATGTTCAAGAGCGTTTTGAGGACTGGATTTTTAATCTCTTTCTTATTGTAAGTAATGGCTTTTCCACAGAAAATTTTAGAGACTAAAGTCTGCAAAAATCAGCACACAAAACGCATCACAACTGCATTCTTTACATCACCTATGGTTCTTTTGTACAAAATTTGCTAACCATGTAGTATTTGTTCTTGAAGTTTAGCTAAAACACTTATATTAGTTTGCTGGAAAACACAGCTAGAAACTAATGCTTACAGTGGCAACCATTGTGACTGCCAGTACCAAAAAACTTCATACATGATAATCAGAGGAGCAATGGTTTCACAGCAGCTTATACTGATTTAAGACACAGAACAGCAATTCCATTCTCATGTCTGGGTTTTCTTGCCCTTCCTTTTGCATAAGCATTAGTGTTAACACATGTCACATTTAAACGGTTTGGAGGGTTGATCTAGGTGAAAACAACCCTTAATACTGCTTTTATTTTGGCTCCAATCACTTCCCTCATCCACCCTGCTGCACAAATGCCAGTGCATGAGGGACTCTTTACAGCCATGACTTAAATTTACGTATCTGCAGAGCTCCACTCAACATACATGAAGTACTGATAAATTAACTTGCACAGTGAGTCTCGTAATTAAAATACAAGGCTGCAAGCATTCCTTTAAAGAGGCACTTCTCCATTCACCTACCTGCTTAAATCTATTTTTTAAAAAAAGTCCAAACTTTAAGAAAAGTCTCAACTTCTCAGTTTCATAGCTATAGTTGTAAGGCAGTCTTATATTTACATTACTAGAATATCTGCCAAATATCCTCACAAAATCTACACTAAAGAAAATTAAAATGCTTCAACCAGGCCAAACATGGAAGCCTGAGAACTTGAAGACAGGACAAGAAAACAAATTATGTGGATTTGAAAAACATACTTGGAACTGAAAACTGTACTTCCAAATCTCACAGTAGAATCAACAATGACTAGCTAGTTTTTGCTATCTGAAGAGTATACCAATTATAAAATCCACAGCAAAAAATATCCCAAACCAATGTTTGTTTAGCAAGTATCACCACCCTCAATCTCATAGGCTACATTTACAGAAAAAAACCCCACTCCTTTTCTGAAGAATTGTTACTAACTAATCATAGAATAGTTTGGGTTGGAAGGGACCTTTAAAGGTCATCTAGTCCAACCTCCCTACAATGAGCAGGGACATCTTCAACAAGATCAGGTTGCTTAGAGCCCCGTCCAACCTGACCTGGAATGTTGCCAGGGATGGGGCATCTACCACCTCTTGGGGCAACCTCTGCCAGTGTTTCACCACTCTCATTCCGAAAAATTTCTTCCTTATATCCAGCCTAAAT